ATAAAGTACTCGAGAAATACAAGCGTGGCACTTCTTCAACCCGAGCAGTAGGCCGAGCAGTAAGCCGACACCAGTAAACACGGGTCGCAACATTGGTCCTTCGTGCCGGATGCTGAAGTTTCCGTGCAATTCTCAGGCATAACGTACACGATAATACATACACGACCGCCATTACAAGGACAGCCACCGTTGAAACAATACGGACTCAGTACAATTGCCATCCTTAACCAAGAAGGACGAGCACGTACGTCGGCTGTCGTCATCGTTTTCGCATACCGCGAAGCGCGGCCTCTTTACTTGCCGCACGAGGCGTTGCAATTATAGCGTCGCAGCGGCACATAGTCACTGCATTCACGCGAGCTACAACCGCGTCGTGCTAACGCACGGCGTCCTCTCGCAATTCCGCGAGCCATCACCGGACCTTCTCCTATCCCAGCAGAGGACGGTCCCCATCACAATTTTGAGGTTATCACCAGGCTTCTTAAACGCCGTCGCGACGAGCTGTCTCCGTCGCATTCAGGCGAGCCTCACCAGACCTCGACGTGCCTTAACGACACCACCACATTAGGATTATCTACCAAAGACAGCGCAGAGTCCTTTTGAATAAACTAAGATTTATCTGGTGACCTACTGTTACATTTGTAAGCGCCGAATAATTGTCGTTGTCATAAAATTACCTAAAACGCTTAGTAACACGTAAGTAAATATAATTGCGAATTTTATATAAGGGTTCGACTGTTACGATATATACATTGCGTATACAATTCTTCGCGATGGACGCTTGTAGATTCTAAGAGAATTATTAGAACTCGCTCGGAGAAGCTCGTACGTTTTTATTGACCAGAAAACGATTATATTCCTTCGCAATGGCAGAATTAGGGGTTTTAGTTAAGCAACGCGGTAGAGTAAAGGCAAAGCTCACAATGTTCAGTAATTTTATCGAGCGCATTAACGAAGCGCCAGAAAACAAGGAAGAGTTACCCTTGCGAATTGAAAAGGCAGAAAGTCTCTTAGCAGAATTCGATTCAATTCAAAACAAAATTGAGGATATAGACGATACGGAAGCACAAGAGATAGAGCGGTCAGGTTTTGAGGATAAATACTACAAGCTGATAACAGCAGCGCGAAAATTACAGATAAACGAACGAGCTCCTCCTCCGCAAGTTTATCAACAAAATTATCCACCGCCCCCTCAAGCTAATGTTGGTAATGAACAATTTGTGTTTAGGCCAGCTGTAAAGCTTCCAACTATTGAACTACCAAAATTTGACGGTAACTATGAGTTTTGGATGGCATTTCGAGATCTATTCGAGTCACTTATCGCGTCAAATGCCACTATACCAGCTGTTCAAAAATTGCATTATCTGAGATCAGCTTTGACTGGTGAAGCCGCCAAGGTGATAACTACATTAGAAATCACCAACGATAATTATGAAGTCGCCTGGCGTTCACTAAAGCAAAGATTCGAGAATAAAAAGTTGCTCACACATCATCTTATTCAAACATTGATCGACTTGCCATCCATTACTAAGGAGTCACACGTTGATCTCAGACAATTAGCAGATAACATCTCACAAATTACTCAAAACCTTGCGAAGTTAGGTCAGTCTATCGAGCATTTTGCCATATGGGTCATTCATGCTACCTAATATGCTACCTAATGCCATATTATGCTACCTAAAATTGATAGAGGATCTCGTAGGGAATTGGAATTTAAGAGATCCGAGATGGAAGAATTTCCCAATTTAGACGAATTTACAGATTTTCTTATTAACCGTAGTGCGTGTTTAGAAGCGGTATCAAGAGCAAGTTCCTCCGATACACGCAACAATAGTAAGACTGCTCAAAATCAAAATAAAGGCACTTCGCGCTCATATGTTCGGATAATTCCTCCTGCTCTATATGCTCAAAGGATCATAAGGTTCATGAATGTGGTTCATTTCTTAATATGTCGGTTACTGATAGGAATGCCGAAGTTAAAAAGAAACATTTATGCATTAAATGTCTCAAGCAATATCACGGCAAAGGTTGTAAAACTTCTAATTGTCAATTGTGTAAAGGTTATCACAACACGCTCCTCCACAGGTCTAAGTCTTTGCCAGAAACCAACAATGAAGAGACAAAATCATCACCTGGTGAAACTTCATCAAAAGCCGTCGATTCGAACAACGAAAAACAGCAATCTACGGTCGCCTTAAGCGCAGATTCATCAGCTGTCTCGCTAAATCACTGCGCTACTGAGGGACCTCTTCAAGTTCTCCTTTCTACAGCCGTTCTGCTCATTCAAAATTCGCACGGAGAATTGCATAAGTGTCGAGCCCTCCTCGATAGCGGATCGCAATCAAATTTTATTACGCGGCAATTAAGTAATAAATTAAAACTACAATGCAAAGCTATTGACAGGACCATCTTGGGCATAAGCGACACATCCATAAGTGCCGTCCAACAAGTCGATGCAACAATACAATCGCGTACAAGCGCATATCAAGTAAGGCTTCCCTTTTTAATCATCGACAAGATAACTGACCGCCTGCCAACAGCTAAAATAAATGAAAGCAGCTTAAGTTTTCCACGAAACTTAAAATTAGCGGATCCGAATTATCATATTCCCGGAAACATAGACTTGTTGTTGGGAGCATCCGTTTTTTGGGAACTTTTAGGAAGCAAGCAAATCAGATCATCAAGGAAGGCTCCTATGCTTCAAGAAACCTCTTTGGGTTGGATAATTTCAGGCAACGTGCACCAAAGTGGCACGCATCAACAACAACACAAGGCATATTGTGGCATCTTTACCAACGCAGAAATTTAACGGCAACTGGAAAAATTTTGGCATATGGAAGAAATAAAGCAACCTAAGCATTATTCTCAAGAAGAAATCCAGTGTGAGGAACACTTTCTCGCAACACACTCTAGGAACGCGGAAGGTCGTTTTGTAATACAATTACCGCTGAAGGATGGCATTCAAGAATTAGGAGAATCCTATGAAATCGCCGTGAAGCGACTAAAGGCACTGGAACGCAAGTTAGAAAAGCAGCCCGCTTTAAAACAGCAATACCACGAGTTTATGCACGAATACCTCGAGCTAAACCACATGTCGGAAGTTCCAGTAGACAAAATAGATGACAAACCGGTCTACTACATTCCGCATCATGCAGTACTAAAAGAGGACGGCATAACTACAAAATTAAGAGTAGTTTTTGACGTTTCATGCAAAACAACTTCTGGCCAATCACTTAATGACTTTCTCCAGACAGGTCCAAACTTGCAAGATGACTTATCCGACATAATTATACGACTGCGTCAGCACGAGTATGCATTGGCAGCAGACATTATTAAAATGTATCGCCAAGTCGAGGTGGCGGATAAACATCGTAAATATCAACGCATTGTATGGAGATGGTCACCTAACGGACCAATTCTTATAATACAGCTGAATACAGTCACGTACGGCATGACAAGCTCATCATTCGAAGCCATTAGAAGTATGCAAGAGACAGCGCATCAAGCCAAAAAGCACTACCCTCGGGCGTGTGAAGTAATAATCAAAGATTTTTACGTAGACGACCTATTAACGGGAGCCAATTCAATTGAAGAGCTGAAAAAATTGAAACATGATATCGTTAACGTACTGTCCAGCGCAAAATTTGAACTCAGCAAGTGGAAATCCAACACTGCGAAGATAAGCGAATCAGACAACAATAAAGTTGCAGTTAGGATCGGAGAAACAACAAAAATCTTAGGCCTATGATGGAACACAAATACGGACACATTTCACTATCGCGTCAAGGGAAGAAATGATAAGGAAAGAATTACGAAACGCAATATATTGTCAAAAATAGCCGCTATTTACGACCCCCTCGGATGGATGGGCTTTTTAGTAGTTCGCGCTAAAATAATATTGCAGCTTCTTTGGCAGATGAACAAGGATTGGGATGAAAACATTACGGGAGAGACATGCGCAATGTGGATCTCATGGAAGGCGCAAATCACGCTAATTGAAAATATTTCCATTCCACGAAAAGTTCTATGTCATAATCCTATAAGGATAGAACTCCATGGCTTTTGTGACGCCTCCGAAGCTGCATACGGCGCTTGCATATATTTGCGCAGTGTCAACTCCGAAGGAAGATATACAGTCAAGCTTTTATGTGCTAAATCACGAATAGCCCCTAAAGAAAATAACCTTGCCAAGGCTAGAATTATGTGCGGCCGTATTATTGGTTCACCTAGGCGAAAAGGCGTCTCAAGCACTAACTATTCAGCTGCAGGATACATGTTATTGGAGTGATTCTGAAATAGTCTTGTCATGGATATCTAGTGAAGCAAACAAATGGCACACATTTGTGGCCAATAGAGTACCCGAAATAAATCGCATCACGAACGGTGCTCCATGGTATCGTGTCAAATCCAAGGACAATCCAGCCGATCCATTATCGCGAGGAGTTAGCGCTGAAAAAATGGAATCAATGAAACTTTGGTGGGAAGGACCTGATTTCCTACATCATAACTCACCACTATATGCCTTCAAGCCTACAAATACTATCAGCGACATGCCTGAAGCACGGGTGATAACTCTGATGGCTACAACTGTGGAACCCAACGCAAATATTATCCAAAGGTTTTCCTCACTAACCAGACTAAAGCCCCTTGCACAATGCCAGGCAACAGGCAATAGGAACAGGAAATAACCAAAAAATCGTTAATTACAACCTAAAAAATTCAAATGCTATGATTGGTTGGCAATAGGCAATAGGCACAGAATTTCCAACGTGACGGAAACTCTGTGTCTATTGCCTGTGTCACTGTTTATTCTGCATTTATACATGATTTCTGATTTCTATTCCCTGTTCCTATTGCCTGTTGCCTGGCATTGTGCAAGGGGCTTAAAGCGCGTCATTGCCTACTGTTTACGTTTCAAAGATAATGCATCCAACCACGCAAAGCGAACTAACGAGCTCTTAACGGTTCAAGAAATGGATAAGGCATTAACTGCAGCAATAAAAATCTGTTAAGCCACCGAGTTCCATCAAGAGCTACGTGATCTTTGTAATAAAAAACAATTAGATTCCAAAAGTAAGATATTAACCTTGCATCCTTTCCTTGATTCAGATGGTGTCATTCGCGTGGGGGGAAGGTTACGGCATGCACCAATAGAATACTCCAGAAAATATCCAATTATATTGCCTACCAAACATCACCTTACGGAATTAATAATTAGAGACACGCACTACAGGAATTTACACGCTGGGCTCCAAGCGATATTAGCAGCTGTCCGCAATAACTATTGGCCCATATCAGGCAAAAATGCAATTCGCAGCGTTTTGAGAAAGTGCATAGTTTGTTTTCGTGTAAAACCCACAACAGCTACACAACTAATGGGTAGTTTACCTGCTTGTCGAGTCACACAGGCACGAGCATTTATTAACACGGGTGTAGATTATGCCGGGCCATTTAACATAAAAATATCACGAAATAAAACGGGTAAAGCTTATTTATCCATCTTTGTCTGTTTGTCCACAAAGGCCGTACATTTCGAAGTGGTATCAGATTTAACCGCTACCTCATTTTTAAATGCAATAAAGAGATTTATCGCCAGAAGAGGTAAACGTGTTAACTTATACTCAGACAATGGCACTACCTTTGTAGGTGCTAACAATCAACTAGCAGAATTGAAACAATTTCTTGTCAAAGACGCAACTCAAAATCAGATACAATATTATCTAACAGAGCAGTTCATTAATTGGAAGTTTATCCCTCCGTATTCTCCGCATATGGGTGGATTGTGGGAAGCGGCAGTTAAATCTGCCAAAACACACATGAAAAAGATTATCGGACAGACTATATTAAGTTTCGAAGAGCTTTATACTATTCTTACACAAATAGAAGCATGTTTAAATTCTAGGCCGCTCACGCCAATGTCTAACGATCCTATGGACCTACAACCGTTAACCCCCGGGCATTTTATCATAGGTGAAGCGCTCACTGCACTTCCAGATTACGATCTTATTGAAGTACGTGTAAATCGTCTAACGCGTTACCAATTAATCACACAAATAAGACAAGGTTTTTGGTCCAGATGGTCGCAGGAGTACATATCTCAGTTGCAACAACGATTTAAATGGAAACAGCCAGAAGACACAAACATAAAACCAGGTACCATGGTGTTGATAAAAAACGAAAATACTCCTCCGATGATCTGGCCATTAGGTCGAATTACAGAGACGCACCCGGGAGCGGACGGGATAATACGCGTAGTTACTATAAAAACTAGTCATGGTCTAACCAAGCGAGCGTTATCCAAAGTATGTATCCTTCCGATTGATGATAATATGCAAACATAATTTAAGTTTAGTTATAAGACATGTTTTGATTCACTAATTTTGACAATGTAATCATCTAATAATTCCACTGCAAGGCTGCGTCGCAAGCGTGCGTACAACCATTATCTATTATATGCTACAGTTCTTTATTTCCTTTACTTAAGATTATATGGCAATTTCCGTTCTGTTCTTTATACATATATTGTTTAAGATTGCGGCCTTATATAGCATTTACCGAATTTAATCTGCATGATTATAATAGTTTGCAAAACTAAGCTTTCCAAAGGGGGCAGGATGTTTAGTTCCGAATTCAATATACGCGCCACGCTCCCTCTGCGATACATTGGGTGCATTCGGGGAGACGCTATTAACGCTATAAACGCAAACGCTATGAACTTCGTTCGAAGAGCCAATAGCGCGACAGCGATAGCAAGCTGCCCGAACGCAGCTTAAGCGCCAATAGTATTTCGTGCCTTACCTCGAAAATAATAGCGAAAATAGCGCGAGTGATGACGTCACGCTGCCTTTACAGTGACGTCATCATCGTATATCACAGCGCCACAAAGCGTCTCCTCGAACAGTTTTGGACGATAATTGTGCTAATAGCGTGCTCCCCGAATGCACCCTTCATGATTGCGCGACCATCTTTGTCGATATCGATATATATCGACA